TCCGAAGCCGCTGCTACTTCCATTGCCTATATCCATCCAGGTGAGAGATTATCAAGTCCCACATCAAATGAAATAAATTTTCTCTTTCTCATTCACCGTTATTAACAGCATACTTGGCCCAGAATATATTAAAGTTTATCCTTTTTCTCTCCACGAATACTACTTAAATATGATAAATAGTAGATTTGATGGAAAGATCTAATTATCATTACAGAAATTTATGTAACTTTTTCCCGAGTTGATTTAAGCCTTGTAAATCCCTTTGAATGCTCAATTTCCTTAATAAAAAATCCAGGCAGAGGTAAATGAATTCTTTAACTTCTTTACACAAAACTTTCCGTTTCCGGTTCAACGACCAATTTTACGGTGGCTTGTTGTCACTGTTGCCGTGTCACACAAACACCACCGGATGCTTGGATGGTTAGAGAGAGTATGTTCTGGAGGCGAAGTTACCTACGTTGTCTTTTAAGCCCTTATCAGGTGTCAGGCATCTAGTTTACTTTCTATCCTTCATGTCAATTTTCAGTGTCAGAAAGACATCTCAGTCACGCAATGGCAACAAATGTAGGTGATTTGAACAATAGAAAGGAATTTAGTTAGCTTTTCCCATTTCTATGGTTTGAAAGATATTTGTTTGCTTCAGTTAGTGGAAGCAGATGTAACAGTTTACATTAATTACGTCTTTTCTGCTTAAACCACAATAATATGTTTTATCTATGTTTTCCTTTGATATCAATATAGAGCAAAGTAAGAGCGCCTTTATTTCCTAAGGCTGTTGACAATTAACATTTGTTATCAAAAACAAACAACTAGCTTTTTTGGGACAATGTGGGGGAAGGGAAAGAAAACAAATGAGGGTCATCCATCCATTCAGTCTTGATCCTCTTATACTCTAGCTCTCACATAACTCAGACTAACTGTTTATTTGGGAGTGAAACAGATAAAAGGAATTCTCTTGCGCATGCCCTTTTTCAACGGGATATAAGGTAACTACAAATTCTTCTCTTACAAAAACTTGTTTCTGGAAGATCCAAGCGCCTCCATTTCCGTCCTACCGGTGTCTTCCAACAACGGTGTCGAGAAAAAGTGAAAATTACCACGTGATGATGAGGACGGGGCGGTATTGCCCTTCACCACTCTTATTTAAAGTGCAAATTCCCTCACTGGAAGGTTTATTTTATGTGGGGGTATGAGCTGTTACGTCACCTTGAGTGGCTAAAAATGAGTCATTTTCGTCGATGCACAAGCTCTAGCTGCTTTTTTTCCCGCGTAACTTCGGAATGTCTCAAGCAGATAGATCTCACCATGGCAGAAGATTCTGGAGAGTAAAAAATGGATTTTTTTTCCTCACTTCACCACACACGAAGCAAACCTGGTGGTCTGGGATTGAAATGATGCCTTAGAAGTGTGCAGTGAGCAGTGAGTGAAGCGCGTACAAGTAACCAATGGAATTTCTGTTCGACTTAGAGATCGTTGGAAAATCAAGGTCTATTCTTGGTCGGTGAGCAGCGAATTTACTGGAAAATGTAGCATATTATAGCGGTAGAGTTAAAAAATAGACGGCAAATACTGCTTTACCAATAGATTAGCCAGTATTTCTGCTTCACAATCCATCCTTACAAACGATCTACGGACTTGACAGATTCGTGTAAGTTACAGGAGGTGATTGCAGCTAAGCTGTTTTGAAAATAAGCGGACTCTCAAGGTTACATGATGTAGCATAATGCAGATTAATTTATTTAATCAACATCTGCTTGTCTAAATACTTGATCACTCACTAATGTGGGTAATGTTTTGCATAATTTTGTAACAATGGATAAACGTCCGTACATTTTTTATAAGGATATGCCTCTGCATCGCCATGGTTACACGTCCTTAGTTCTGAATAACTAAACAACCTACTTACATTGTGTAAGCAGCAAATTTTAGTGTTTTTGTAAAAGGTGTTAGGGGTCTGAAATAATAAATTTGCTACCCGTACGCAGAATAGAATTTTTGAAGACCCCAATGTCCCTAATTTGAAATGAGATTTTTACATGTATGATTCAATGCATCTGCAGAATTCCTCTTGTCACTGCATTTTTTAGGCTCTTCCGGCATAGTCTTTATCCGTTTTAAGCTGTCATCCCATCATATGTTATAGATTTCTACTACTTGGCAAAAAAGCAAAATTGTGACAAGTGGGCATGGTTTGGATGAAGAATGGCTCCTTCGTCCTCAGTTTAGTGAAGCGCCCCAAGAATATTATTCTAGGATGTCATAAGACTTTTTTTGGATGTCAAATCAGGGTTTACTGTTTTAGGGGTATTTATACATTAGTTTCGCATTGATTAATAGCTGCGAATGTTGCTGAACTTCTACGATAAATGCCCTACATATTAATTTGTTAGTAGAGTTTTTATGGTAACTTTTGCGTACCTAACCAAAATTTAATTTTTTAAGCAGGGGTCTGTTTTACGGGACTTCAAAAGATTGTTTTACGTGTATTCCCATTAAAATAACCTGTAGATTTGTCATTTGTTGCAAAAAAAAAAAACAAACTCTAGGTCTCAATTACTTTTCGTTGGAAGATTCATTAAAAAGGGAGTTACTTACTGGTGCTAAATGGAGATCCGAACAGCCGGAATAACTCCCCGGTTAGGTCTAATGTCCGTGACAAAATGTTTATTCATACCCGCATAAATCAAGAAAGTCGTGGAGGCTGCTAAACAAATGGGCGCTACTAAATGCATCAACAGAGGCGAGGCAATAGGCTTCAAAGGCTATCAGAATCCCGCTGACGAGTGATTTGCGATGGTGAAGTGAGTTTGCATTCCATCATTCCTGAAGTGAATAACCATCTCATTAGCTATTCACTGTCCACTCTACACTTCAAAGGCACCTGAGAAAACTGTACGTACTTTGTGCGGCGCACTGCAGGTAGAATTATCTACAACGCCTTAAAGGCATCGGGTCTCTTTGATAACTGACAATTGATCGGCCAATCCTGAGATGCCTGGGGAGTGAGACCGAAGCATGAAGCCTATCTGCGAGTAGCCTTTGCCTCATGGACATTGCCTCGTTTTTCAAGATTAAAAATAAAACTTTCTCTTTGATCCACTGCCTAAATGCCCTTCAGTTCCATCCATATGTATGAGCCAGATGGATGTCGGTAGTAAATATTGCCTGACTATAACACTATCCTAATTTGTAGACTCATATCCACTCCAAAATAAATTATGCAAAAAATAAGTCATGTTTTGTAGCAACTACTTGTCGAAATTTCAGATCGACCGCCTTTCTTCCTCCACTTAACACGTTCGCTACCAGTTGCCAGGGCCTACTCATGACGACAGTTTGATGGGCCATGTTAATCCGAAAAGAGGGAAAAAAGAATAATTTTATCATTTGATTAGTTTAAACTCTATCAAGTAGTGAAGAAACTTATCTTTATTGCTGGTTACATATGTCCGAAAAATTCCCTTCTGATGCTCAAAGCAACACAAATGTGCATTGAGCATGTTTTAACAGCTCGCTTCTATTGGCTGAGGGAGGTTTAATTCATCCCTCCCATTGGTCGCGCCACACGCCCGTGGCAGAAATAACCATCTTCATTAACTCCACTGCTCTTATTACAACCAGTGTCAGTTCTCTTAGTTGAAAAACACTGTATCCCACCACTACGTCACGGCTTCGACCATTGAAAATCCAACGCTAACACTAATACTGCTACTACTATTGTTATTACAGAGGAACTAAAAGATCGTCTTCATCGTGCCTATTCGACACGGCGAGTTCTGCCCAACGTTCAGATCTCTGAGGCTGCTTTAAATCGTGCTCGAAGTCTTCACGTTCCTGCAAAAAAGCGAGTTCCCATGGAGGGTATTCGGTCTTCCTCTCGAGCCACGAACTCGCCATCCCCTTCTGAGATTGCCCAACGAACGCATAGACCGCCTTCAGTTGGCGGACGACCACACAGAAATCTCCAAAAATATCGACAAGCATCCATTGTGGCTTCATCTGTCACCTCCAGCGCTATCTCCAACTCTCCACTTGCTCCTCGTCTATCACCGAATCTCAGTCATAGGGGAGAGACACGGCATCAAGCACGCTCAATGAAAGGGAATGATAAGCCAGAGCAACGAATGAGACGACAGTTGCCTTGCAAAGTCGTGCTTCCCAACAATAGCAATGAGGAAATGGATGAGGGTGAGTCTGTGGCTTCAACATTTGACGACTTTGACTACTTCTGTAGCATCTCCTACTCTCCAAGCAGCAAAGTCGCACCCAATTACACGGCAGAAACAACTCAGACACGACGCCAAAGAATGCGAGGAAGGCGAAGCCATTCCATGCTTCATCCAAATGAAAGTGTGGTCGATTACTCCTCACCTTCAACATCTTTTACGACAGCAAGTAGCGGGAAGGACCATGTTGTTGATAAACGGGTGTTTAGTCGGACCTTGACAACGTACAATCAGGATATAGTGGAGGACATAACCCCTAAACGTATGTCTGGAAATGCGTCAAGAAACAATTCATCGGTCAGTTTGACCCAAGGTAGCCGGGCATCCTATTCCCCAGGACGGCCACCAATTACACCTCAAGCACCACCAAAAATTCCTTCTGGAAGTCGAGAATCACCACTCGGTGCCGCAATTTCTCAGGAGGCATTGGAAGCCGACGATCCAGATTTGGTGGAATTCAAAGTTCAGGTGGTAGGATCACCCTCTGTCGGCAAGTCAACTATTTGCCAGAGACTGGCAAGTCTAAATAGTGAAGATAGTGATGGTGAGTTGTCTTCCTTTCTATCATTCATTCACCTCCCTTCCTTCTCCATTCTCATTATTTTCCGCTTGTCATTTCTCTAAACGCAAAAATGTGAAAATTGATAAGCTGTCATATCGATGCATTTGTGTGTTTAGATATTTCCATCAATTAGTTGTCAGCCATGTCAGAAGTGGTTGTAAAGATTTCCCCTTGAATGTTCATTCATATTTGAGCGGAGTGACATCAATGAAAGCCAGGCAATGAGTTGCCATGACAAAAGAAAGGCGTTTGATCGTCAGAAATACCGATGAGACTTAATTGATAAGTCCTGTATCTTTAAAAGATTTTGTTTGAAGGTCTATTTTCCGGTTGGATGATGCTCGACTGTTTCATATATTCAATGAGCCTTCTATTAGGGATGTGTAAAGTCTAGTCATCCAGAGTGGTTTTGTGGAAGCAACACCACCAGAAGGATCTTTAAAGAAGTGATCAGCCCTAGGAACCTAGAAGTAAATCAATTTTTAGAGTGTATAGGACTCAGAAGCGTGGATGTGAAGCCCCTTTGGTCCCTTTGGTGTTGTAACGAAAGTGCCGAACTCCTTTGCCCTTTTTAGACTTCAACGAGGACGCTTGCGAAGACCTTCAAACATTGTCAGTGAAAGCGACATTAAATGGAAAAGTCTTTAATGTTGGATTTGTAGAAACCGCTATGTATGCAGCAGAAGATGCGATGGTGAGTTGTTATTGTTTTTTTGCCTTCTTTCCTTCACATCTCCGTCTATCTACGATCAGCACTTGGTGCTCTTTCTAGGGTAATAATGGAAAAGCCTAATTTTCAGTTTCTGTGGTTTGCTTTGTTGAGTTGATCCAATCCGTAACCTGATTTGGTCGAACAAAGAAGACTTTCTTTAAAGGATGGGTAAAGCTATGGAAAATTATTAAGTGACAAAAAATGTTGAATATTATGTATTTTTAGTAGCCTTTTCGAAAAACACTAAACATGAATAACTGAATTTGAGGGTTTTATTGATACGCCAAGAGATAGAATCTCTTTGTGGATAGAAAATGTCCTCCCTTTTCGGTCTGCATTTGAGCTATAAACCGATCAAAGCAGAACTTGAAATGGGGATAAAAGAGACCCTCTTGTTGTATACGTGCCTGTTAGAAGCCCCTCCCTTCACCTTCTCCTTCTTTCCTCCACCCCCCTTAACATGATATTTGAAGCGTTCCAAATCAGGAGGACCAGGAGGCGTCATAATCAAGTCCCATTTTTTTAAGAAGCCATGATCTTTGATGGTGCCTTTAAAAAACTGGAAGACAGCACGCTGGGAACACACAATTCTTCAATGAGGTCTTTCTTCCTTCTTATAAAACCAAAAGAAAATTGGGAAGAATATTCTATTTTTCGCTCAGAATGAGTTTAGAAATCCATTTTTTTTCGCATTTTAAGGTCTAGAACCAAACTGTGAATGTCTCTAATTCTTCATCACGCCTGCCCAATCCACTTAGTTGTCAAACACGTGCTCCACTCTGCCTAATGTCCTTTCATTAATTTGACAAAAGAAGGAAGGAGATTTGCATTTTAGATAGCTCGTTTTGCTTTATCGAACGAAAAATTGGTAGAACTTTTGAGTTTATCTAGTTCAAGTTAGTCAATATGTTTTAATAAGTATCAAATCACTATTGTGAAATAAAGGCGTTTTTGTGGTCTGAAGTAATGAAATAAAATCGCAAAAATGTCGTATTTAAAAGTTGTTTGTCTTGTCATTGTTTATGGTCCTCATAGATGTATTTTTCAACATACCTAGCTTGTTATCGGCAATTTTTCGAGTACCTATTTACATTATTTGCTTGGGGAAATCAAGCTGTTGAACAAATGTCTCTGAGTCCGTGATTTCATGCAAGTAGGCCAAAAAGCCTCTTCTTAATTCTATTTCATCGGTGAGGGGAATCTAAGGCTGTCACATGGAGGAACAATTGGGAGAAGGCTTAGAAGAGCGCCATCTGCCAAGCTATAAGCATCTGTTGCAAAGCGATTTCTAAATTCAGGATTTAGGTTATAAATGTCCCTAACAAAAACAAGCATTCCTTCACCGAGCATTTGATCTTGATGGAAGGAGTTGCATGAAGCAACTTGTTGTTTTTCAAAGTAAAAGATGTGTTAATAAATTGCTACTGTTCTGCGTTTCCACTGAGCTTGAATGCGAGAAAGTCTGCGACTTCCCCAGTAAGCCAAATGGCTTGCTTGAATGTGAAGATACCCTTGATTTCCTATCTGTCAATTAAACCTATCGTTTTTTTGTTTTTGCTTTGCGGTATTTGACCTTAAAAAGTGTTCCTTTAAACAAGTACTATTAAATCCTTTGTCCCACAGGGAAACATTAAATCTTGCTGTACTTTAAATTTGTAATTTGATGTGAAAACTCACTGAATCGCAAAATAGTTTTAGTTATATTTTAAAGCAATATCATCTCCATATTATACAGTTTTTGCTAGGGTAAAAATTTGAAGTTTGTAATACTTCGTTGTTAAAATAGACAGTAAAATTTTATTTCCGCACCTTTGAGGCGAAATCTTTTTGATGTTTCATAAATAAAATTGCCATCTCGAAAAGCAACTCATGCTTACTTCGAAACAGTCAGTGAGTGAGAGATGGTTAAAAAGACTTTCCCGCAACTTTTCGTTTGACACTTTTTTGCTTTTCACGATTCTGTTTAGTAATTCTGCCTTCGTTTTTCGAAGTCGTAAATACAACTGACTGAATGACCTGAACTCTCTGCATCTGTCACTTCCGAGTGGATATTTTTGAGTGTTTTGTAGCTTCCCAACACTTTCCTGAAGACGAAGGAAGACTTACTACTTGGGAAGAATATCTTCGACATACAGAAGGTATTTGTGCTACTGGCATAGCCCGAAGGCCAGCCCAACCGGCGTGGTACAATGGCCTAGTCAAAAGTGGTTCTTCACCAAAACCGGGAGTTAAACAACTATTGCATTACAGTTGCTACCGACTTGTTAAATACTCCTTTAGGGAAAAGATGGATTCGTTTGCACTGCACCCTTCCCGCCTCTGGCATTCGCACTATGGCGGAAGCATAAAGGCGAGAGGAAGAGGTTGACTAAAATTGGCTCTAAAATTGCACACAGCTACACCAATCTTGTTTCACATGTGCAAGAAAATTGTGCTTTTGCTTTTTTAGTGGAATCACTTTAACTTCCAAAGTTGGAAAAGTTAGCTACTTAAAAAATCACTAATTTTCTGCTCTGCTCGACAGAACATCGAGATTCAGGAGTGCGTGGACGCTTTCGTGGTGGTCTATGCAATTGACGACGACTCCACCTTCGAATTTGCTAGACGAGTTCTTCTAGTCCTGAGAGAAAGTGTACGGGAAAATTCTCTACCACCCGCTGGCTTTATTCTGGTCGGAAATAAGTCCGATCTTGTTCGTGGACGTGAAGTACCCACAGATGGTCTGTAACTCCGGGGTTTTACCATATCTGATTATTTTATTGCCATATATTGCTGCCACCCTGACAAGTGTGTCTCATCAGCATTGGATAAATGACAACAAATAATCTTCCGCATCAATTCTGTCCATTCGGGCTTTGGTACATTCTCCACGATTTGAGAATTTGTGTAAAGTCCATGGGATTTTAACAGCCCAGAGTAGATGCCTCTTCCATATTGATATTCAAATTAGGTTATGATTTTCTTCCCAAAGGCTAAAGTTAAGCAAATGTGTCTAACCTTAGAAGCATCAATAAGTTAGGTGGAAAGGGTGAGTGACTGCAGCGCTTCCGTCAATTCCATGAAAGCCAGATCTAGAAAGGCTGACTAGATCTTCGATATACTACTGGAGTTATTAGGTAGGGTAATGTGCTCTCCACAATCCGCGTCTGTTTTTTAAGTTGGTAGGACTGCATCTTCGCGGAAAGGTACTATCACAGGAAATTATTAAGCTGAACCAGCATTTTCTAGACATTTTGCCCATTAAAATCTTTTTTCACTGCCGCTTAAAGGCGCCAGTAGATAAATAAGGACCTAATCTGCGCATATCTGGAAAATTTACCATATAAATTATTAAATGCATTTTAGCTTTTTGCTTAAGTGTGTCTGTAGGCCAATCAGGAGGAAAGGAGGTGTTATCGGAGTTCACTGCACTAAGCACTGAACTCCTTACCAGAGAGGTAATAGAGACCGACACTAACTCTTAGAACATGGAAAGGTGGATTTTTGAGACCATTCCTTTTCTATTTACGGGCGTCTGCTAATCCAGGCAGTTACTGAGCCCTCCTGCTTAAAGTGGGTGAATGAAGTGTTACCTGATTGGGTGTGTAGATGTAGCAATTTGAATGACATCAATGTGTTGATTCAGAGCAGATTTTTGATACGCGTTTATTAAAGAAATGTCTAAACTTCTTCCAATTTTAGAAGGAAATCAATTTGCAGCATCTCAAAAGGCTGAATTTATTGAAGTTTCCGCTGTGTTGGATCACAAAATACTTGAACTCCTTTTCACAATCATCACCCACCTTCGAGGGTTGGAAGAGGCTAAAGCACAACGACCCAAACGACCACCGACCAATGAACTCTGGGGCACAAGTAGAAAGATCGCTGTCAAGATGGCTGCCAGTGGAGGTAGCGGCTCTAGTGGTGATGGTGGCGGTGGAGGAGGAGGTGGTGCAGGCAGTGGTAGTGGACTGGGAGGAGGAGGCGGCGGTGGAGGTGACACTTTTTCCCGAATCAGTAAAAAACCTGCCAAAAACGAGATTGTCAAATTCTTCAAGAGACACTTCTCCAAGTCCGCTATGGAAGACCCCATGTGTGGCAGAGAGATGGGTGATGGTACTTAGGTAAGCGATTTTTTGGCAAAAAAATAACGAAAATATCTTTGTTCCCGTTTTTTTAAGCCAAATTTTACTCTTTCATATTTGTGATTCAGGTAAAGGTAAAATAGTCAAGTGTAACTCCACCCTTAAATAAGAAAGAAATCTGTTGTAGTTCAAATTCTGATATTACTTTTGAAAAAAATTATACCTTAAAACCACTTGACTTGGATTTGTGTGGTGATTTTGAACTGTGATATCAAGGGGTAGTTAATAAATCCCAATTAATTTCACATTTTAAAGGGTTATTAATTCCAATCTTCCATCTCATTAGAATCTCTGCATACTTTTATTTAGTGCTTGACGGACTGATTTCCATAAAATTCCAAATTTGATAACGGTAGTGTCTGATCAGTTAGGTGTTTAAGACAAATCGGGACTATTGTGTAGTAAGTAGTATGTGTCCAATTACTTGACTGACGCGTGTATCATGGACGGATGATGGGGTACAGTGGTTGGATGTGCATGCGACAGTGTGTGATAATAAAGGGGGCTCCTTAAGGGAGAAGAAGATCCTCCAGGCCTGTCTACGAAAGACCTCAGGCGCAGTTTCCGTAATGATGAAACATCCAAATAAGGGAATGAAGGGAACTCTCCGAGGCAGGTTATATGTCTGTACCTCAATTACGAATCCTCCTGGGGTAGTTTCTCGGAAGTATTCTGTAGACACTTTAAAATATTTGCCGTATTCTTGACGCCTGAGTGATGCCGAATTGTATAAGCAGTATTTACTCCTCACCTTTTATAGATCACAAATTCCCTTTTGGCTTTAAGCCTTACTTCATCTACAGCCTCACTAAAAGGTTAATAAAACATACCGTTTTTGAAAAGAAAAGAAAGAAAATCTATTATTTTTTGGAGCTTTTTATTGTTTTAGAAGACGCCACCTGATTCTCAGCGATAGTTGCCAAAAAGGGGCGCAATAAGTCACCCAGATATTCTCATATTCACCTATTTTAAAAGGGACCTAAAGCTTCTCTGTCACATGACCCAATCACTACTTTCTCCTCTTCCTCTCATTTTCCTATCAATGCATTTGTTGTAAATAAATGTTTCACTTTTTATCATCAATTTTCTTCAAGCTCCTCTGCTTCCCCGTCTCCAACCGCCTCCACACAAAATGCGATGATGGTGGTGTTGGTGTAATCGTAGAGCATCGGAAGACAGAGCTCTCTAGCTATTCACAAATAACCTGAATATTCGGTTACGGCAAAATGACATTTTAACAATTTATTCAGCCATTAGATTTATTCACTCCTCGTGGTTACCATTTCCGCTTTTGACGGCATATCCCTCCGGCCACGTCCGCGGCCTGGAGGTCCTTCTGTACGCTAGTAATAAATTTTCCTGCTTTATGTAAGTCTTATTACTCCCTTGGGGGAGGATTGGAAGAGTCGCTATAATCTTCTTGACTAATTGCTAATCTTTGCCGCTGAAGGGGGAGGGCATCCGTTAAGGACGACTAAACTCACGAAGACTCAAGGCAGAAGAGTTGCGGAGGTCACATCAGAGAGTCACAGAGCATCTACTGGGTAGGGTCATTCACCCTTGAACAAGTCAAATTCATTGGACTTTCGCAATGTGGTTTATCAGTCAAGGAGACAAATCACACATCTTGTCGAACCTGTTGGAGAAAACCCGTTGCGTGGTAGTAAAACGCACCTTCCCAAGAATGAATCGGGTGATGAGTTTAGGAATAAGCTCCATTATTTCCATAATGGGAAGAATTGTATCCCTTGTGCCTCAACCGATTGTTGGTTAACAAGTCAAGATTAGCCTCCAGCCATAGTTACCCAGCATGAGGGATGAAAATGGTAGGGTAACACCTGCATCATTTGGAAAGAAGGCGTCGATGTGCAATGCTGAGTAACAAATGGGTTTCCCACAAATGTACTTTGGGCTCTGATTTTTACGCAAAATTACCCACAAATACCAACAGCCGCAGAAAATCAAGGCACCTGTTCTGGCAAAGCATTTTGTCATCTTTATAAAGCTCAACAATTTTCTCAATGATAATGGTAATGGATCTTTCCGTTTTTACTCCAAAAGTGAACGGGAATTCCACGACCAAAATTCGGAAGAGGTGGCCTTCATCCAACTATTTACAGGCGATACGCACTTCACTCCTATCGAAAACCCTATAGGATGCAGTAGATTTGACGGAAAGCGTCATCTACGCCCATGGAAACGAGTAAACACTCTCAAATCCCATCTGCTGGATATGAAGGCGCTCGGTTTCAAAATGGCAGAAAAGTAATATTTTGTGGATAGAGTGATGGTAGACGCATTTTATAAGGCTCAGAAGCTAAACCCGAACATCACAGGGAGATTTATCATAAACTCTACCTCATAAGTAGCTTCCCACATCGACTGGCGTGGACTCACTCCCTCTAGTGTTGTCAACATGTAGTTCATTCACGTGATGTCCAAATTGAGCGTTAATAATATCGACGGTAGTAGTGATTCAATTAAACACGGAGATAAGGAGGAGAGACATATTTGTCAACAAACTGCCAACAAAAGGGTTGAAGGGATTTGTGTTCCACGAATGAGGTGAGTATTAAGACCACAACTTCTAGGGATCAATGTAGATGGAATGGGGAGAGCGATGGAGAAGGGGTTGAGAAAAGCGGGAGATGGTGTATTTCAATCAGACTAGGGGATCGTCAAGGTTATATGCAAAAGTGGTCTTAACGTCAAAGCGAATGATTGGTCAATGATACATTGAGTGAGGGGTAAGGAGTTGAACGATACAGCAGGCTAATTGCAAAGTTGAATTTCATATTTCGGAGATGGCAAGCACGGAGGGAGGTGCCGAAGCAGATGGCTAAATGGAGGCATGGTAATTTTAATAATCCGTAAGATATTAAAGTTTATTACTCTACATAAATTTTGGGGTATTTCAAACTCAAATGTAATCAGTCGTCACTTTAGTCTGGTGGTGAGCATTCCATCATTTTCGATATTAGAATCGATTCTCGGCATACTTACTGAGGTAGCAAAAATATGCACCTCACAAACGGCTGAAATAGAAGAATCTGGTCATGGTAATGAATAACGCTAAGATGCTTATGTGTCATCTTAAAAGAGATCCTCCTCTT